CCAGCCTTGAAAGCAACGCTCCTATGGTTTTCCTGTGGCCCGTAGCCATAAGCCAGGTGTCTGTGGTGAGCCAGACATTGGGCTGGCTCTGCAGCCAGGTGTCTCCCTCCCACACCTCAGCGAGTTCCAGGAAAACCCAGGTATTCTTTTCTCTCTGCAGTCCCCATGCGCTCTATATCTATGGCAAATGCAAATCTCTTTAGACAAGGTTGAGATGCAGGGATTTCAATGTCCTGGCCCCAGCAGTGGCCCCCACCTGGCCTTGCTCCCAGAGCCCACAGGACTTGGGAAAACCATTCAGGAGCCTTATGTCAGTCACCTTCCTACCCTCATTACAGATGCTTCTTAGAAGCTCAGCCCTCTGAGGGCTTTCCTTGCAGACTTTCACATCCCTGTTCTCCACCACAAACTCCACTTCATGAGGAATAAGGAGAGAGGAAGAGAGAGTGGAGGGGAAAGAGGAATAAGGGAGGGAGGGAGCAAGGAGACCTGTCACCGGCAAACATGTTTTTGCTTTCATGGCAGGCATAACCATTGTAACCATTTTTAAGTTTACAATTCAGTGGCATTAAGTACATTCACAGTGTCGTGCTGCCATCGCCTTTTCCAGAAATTTTCATCACATGGAAAAGAGACCCCAAACCCACTGGCAGTCAGTCCCCCGCTCCCTCCCCTGGCATCGAGTGAGCTGTGGATTTACCTGTTCTGGACATTTCACATAAATGGAATCATGCAATGTGTGTCCTCTGGTGTCTGACTTCTCCACTCAGCAGGGTGTTTTTGAGGTTCCCCCACGCCACTGCACTGTCCCATCCTCTTTATGGCCGAATGTTACCCCATTGTGTGAGCATGACTTGAGGGCCATTTTTTTTTTTTAAGATTTATTTATTTATGTATACAACAGCTGGGGTACAGACCAGAGATGAGGGGGGCGAGAGGGACTCACCAGAAATAGAGTAGGGAACAGAATAGGCAGACTCACTGAAAGACACTGCTGAGAGGAGCAGCAGGCGAGTCAGGATAGGTCTGCTGCGCCATATGGGTGGCTCCCTGGCCAGCCGGGGATCCAACTCATGCTACAGAGGCTGTGGACAGCTTCATAGTGCGGTGCTTAACCCCTTGCGCCACCAGGGAGGCCCATTGAGTGCCATTCTTGACCCATTCATCAGCTGCTGAATGCTTGGGTTGTTCCCACATTGGGCTGGTGTGCTAGTGCTGCTTTATGGTTCTTACTATATATAATGCCCACATCCCCTTGAGCTAAGCACGACTTCCCATTTTAGCCGTGGAAAGGCTGAGGATGAGGCTAAGAGCCTGTGCCTGGAGTCTGGGATCATTAATTTAAAAGAATAGAGAGAGAGAGATCTGAAGCAAAGAGCTGGGTGAGAATAAGGACAGTGCCGACAGAAGGCGTTTCTGGGAACCAGGCACGAGCCGCAGCTTCCATCGCCAGCCTTTACCACACAGCCTTCCCAGGGGGCAGGGACTATTTTGAGTCCCTTTTCAAATAAAGAAAACTGAGGTCCATCTCTCCACCACTTGAACGTGTGGCTTGCAGGCATATTCCTGCATTTCTGAGTCTTGAAAACCTCCTTGTGGGCCTCCCCGGTGGTGCAGCGGTTGCGCGCTGGGTTGAGAAGCTGCCCGGGGCCTCTGTAGCACCGGTTCGATCCCCGGCTGCTCCCCGGCCACCGAAGGAGGGTCCCACATGGCGCGCAGACCTCTCCTGCTGCCCGCTGCTCCCCTCAGCAGTGTACTTCGGTCCTTCTGCCTGCTCTGCTCCCCGCTCTGGCTCTGGTGAATTCTCTCACCCTCCCGCGCTTCTGACTGTACCCAGTGCTTGTATAAATAAAAAATAAATAAATCTTAAAAAAAAAAAAAAGAAAAGAAAACCTCCTTGTTATTACCCTTTCTGTGATATGGGAACCTGGATGGAGGCCCAGAGGAGACAGTAGGTGTGGGCATTCATGAGGGGGTGCTTGGCTTATGGCTGCTCAGCTGGTGGGCCAGGGTTCCCCTTCCTGCCTGTGGGCCTAGCTATGCTGGTGGCCCTGACTCGGAGCCCAGTCATGCTGAGCCTTTGGGGTTCTGGGCTCTGCTTCCCATGAAAACAAGGAGATCTCCTTATCACTGTTCCAGGCCGCTTCCTCAGCTGGAGGACTGACAGTTTCCTTCTGTTCCCCCAACTGCTGAATCATCAAATGTGTGCCCCTGGCCCCCTGGTCAGTGTCCAGCAATGCAAGCCAAGTCCTCTCTGACTTCAAGGGTCACTGGTGCTGTTTCAGGTCACCTGGTCTGAAGCTAACAGCATGAGAATGAATCCCAGTTTCCTGACTGGGTGATGGTCCTCGAGCCTCCCTGGTAATGATAGATTCTGCACCCCAGTTGTTCCTTCGAAAGAACTGGGCTGGAGTGCAGCCTCAAGCCAGAGTCACCAGGTAAGAGGAGGAGAGGGTAGAGGTTGACCTTCCTTGTGCCTTGATACCTTACACTGTCTCCTTTAACCCTCACCTGCCTGTGAACTAGGCCTCTGGGGCCCCATATTGCAGGTCAGGGACAGGTTTAAAGATGCTTCCCTGAGATGACACAATCTGTATTGGACTCCCAAGGCCCCACCCACCTCTGAAATCACGGTTTCCAGGGGACTTTTTAGTCTGAACAGCAGCAGCAGTAGCAGAAGGGTCGGGGCTCAGGTTCCACAGCAGGGACTCTGGAGGGGCTTTTCCAGAAACCTATGCTATGGGGCCCTCTTTTTCTCCACCCTGGACCCCCTTTATCATTCTCCCTCTGTGAAGCCCATGAGGAAATGGTTTCACTGATCAAACACCTTGAAGTATTAATCAATGACGAGTTCCTTTGCCACTTCATACCCATCAGACAGAACCTGCCAGTCAGAAGCCCTGAACAACCACTGTATGAGATTCATGTGGCTGCTGTAACAAAATACCACACACGGAGGAGTTTAACTAACATTTATTCTCTCTCAGTTCTGGAGACCAGAAGTCTGCAACCCAGCTGTCAGCAGGCTGGGTCCCTCCTGAGGCCATGGGAGAGAATCTGCTAAGGCTTCTCCCCTTGCTCTTGGCAGCTCCAGCAACCCTTGTTGTTCCTTGGTTTATTATAGACACATCAATCTCCTGACTCCCATTTCTGCCTCCATCTTTCCTGAGATGCTCCCCTGATCTCTGTATCTCTGCACCAATAAGTTTCACCTCCTCTTAACTTGATCACATCTGCAATGACCCTATTTCTAAGTAAGGTCGCAAGCACAGGTACCAGGAATTAAGACTTGGATGTACCTTTTTGGAGAACACAGTTCAACCAAGTACATCCAAGTATCATTTCATGTGCTGGGGTCTGACTCTCTGGCCCTATTGAAGGAAAATGTACAATTTAGTGAGGCTTGTGAAAACATGGCTAGGGGCTCATGGATCCCGTGGGGCTCTGGTAGGCCTGACATCCTGCCGCTGGGGGCATGGAAGTCAAAGCAGGGGGTCTGTGGCTGTGTGACCCACTGCTAACAACGGAACAAGAATCTGTCCCCTTTAGGGATGGAGGATATTGTTCCCCAGCTGGGTGGGTGGAAAGCATAGCTTTGCAAAAGCCTCTTGCTCCACCCCTCCAGTTTGTGCCTGGCTTTGCAGGAGCCTGAGGGAGGGCCCTGGCCTTGTCACTGAAGAACAGGCCAGTGGAGGCAGCCTGCTTCCAGGGAGCCAGGCCCTAGCACTACCTGTGAGCACCCAGGCCAGCCTATCAGGAGGGGCCTCCCTGCCCAGAGCTCTGAGTGAGCACAGCCAGCAGCAGAGCCCAGGTGTGGAAAGCTTTTCTCAGAATGGAAAGCTTTTCTCAGAGGTCCAAAAGTAAGGCCCCAGGTTGGTGGCCATCCCTGTACCCTGAGTGCAGAGAAAGCAACATATCCTGGCCAACTCTACAGGATGCCCAGCCACCTCTGTCTGACCTTGGGTTCTCATCTTCACTTTAATAAGCATGAAATGCCCCTTTAGGAAATGTGTGACTCCAAAGTCCACACTTGGCCCAGTTGCCTGAGGACACCAGGACAGGGCTCTTTCTCTTCAATCTTGACAAAAGAAGTAACCATTCCCTTAGGGAAGGACTGAATACACCTGATAATCCTCCTCCACACTGCTACCGGGACATACCTGGGTGTTCTGAGTACTTTGTGCTTCCATTATACCCCTTTTCACAGCGCAGGACAAGGTACACAGAGAAGTTAAGTAACTAGCCAAAGGTCACACAGCTCGGGGTTTCCAAGATAGGCTCTGACGCCACCTGACCTGCACGTCACAGATGCACAGCTCGGGCATCTCCCGCCGCGTGCTGGGGAGGCCGGCCCACACATTCCGGGTCCCCAGGCCAAAAGCTCACTGAACGTGCAGCGGTCGAACCACGGAGTGAGCGCCCGGTACAGTGCAGCTACTAGTGCATCCCGCGTGCGGGCCTCGCCCACAATTGCGTACCCAGAGGCCCTAGCCCGGGACCGGGGTCCGCGGGGCCCCAGACCGCTGGGGCCCGTCCGGCGGGGCGTCTCTAAGCAGGGGGCGGGCCTCTCATGGGCGGGGCCTTGTCTAGCTAGCCAATGGCGGCGCGGGGGCGGTGCCTACGGCGGGAGCGCGCTCGGGGCGGGGCCAAAAGTCCACCGGCGGCGGGCGGGCGGGCATAGGGGGCGGGACCGAATGGCGATAGACCAATGGCATATTGGGGGCGGGGCGGAGGGCGGAGGAAGCGGCGAGCCGGGGGCGTGACCTGTGGGCGTCAGGCCAATGGAGCTGCGGGGGCGGGGCGGCGGGCGGCGGGCGGGGCGCGCGGGGGGCGGCGGTGGCCGCGGCGGCGAACAAAGAGGCGGCGGGCGCGGGCGGCCGAGCTGAGCCGAGCGGATCCGAGCCGGGCCGAGCCGGGCCGAGCCGGGCCGGGCCAGGCCCAGGAGCTGGTGGACTATGCAGGCTGCGAGGCTCGGGTCCACGGGCCTCTGAGCCGCGCGCCCTCGGGCTAGCCAGGAAGCCCAGAGCTGCGGCCGCGCGGCCGAGCTGCCGGCCCGCCATGGCTGGGGTCAGCTACGCGGCGCCCTGGTGGGCGAACCTGCTCCACCGGCTGCCCCACTTCGATCTGCGCTGGGAGACCACCAGCAGCCAGTTCCGGCCGGAGGACACCGACTACCAGCAGGTGACACGAGTTCCCTGGATCGCGGGGTCAGGGCTGGGGTCAGGGCCTCCATCCCGAAGGGGTCGGCCCCCCGCTCTTCTGAGCCCTCTTCCTCTCCGCGAGGGCCAGGTCTCCTTTTATTCCTTTCCAAGCTCTGGAGACTCCCCATCCCCCATCGAGGGGCATGGCCCCCTCCTTTTCCGTGCGTCAGTGAGTCCCCGTCCTCGAGGGTCGCTCACCTCCTCTGCTTCCCGAGGGTCTAAAGTCTCCCCCACGCCCACTGAGGGTCACCGCTCCTCTTCTCGTGGGTCACAGCCCCCCACTTTTTTTTCTTGAGGGTCTTTCCCCAAGGTGTGAGACATCATCATCATCATCATCATCCACCGTCCACAATCCTCAGCTTTTTTTTTGATGTGCTGTCACTGAAGCCCTCTTTGCTGGGTTTATGTGAAGCCACCTCCCTCCCCTCCGTGGAGCCCACTTTGCCTGCTGTCATTTCTTGCCCAAACTCTGTCTATCACAGGGTCAGTCAGGGCTGCTGTGGGTCAGAGTCCCCTATCAGGAGGACCCTGAGGCTGGGAAAGCTTTGGGTACAGTCAGGAGGGGATTCCTCTCCTTTCACCACCAACTGGAGAATCCCACTCACTGCCAGGTTTTTGGTGGCTGAGTGGCCTGGGCAGATGCCAGCCCTCCCTGGCCAGTAATGACCCCCTGCTGGATGATCAGGCTGTGGGATTTACACATAGGGCTGTGTTCAGTATGATGACACCAACCTGCCCAGAGACCCTCTTCCAATGCCCCGTGGGTGGAAGGTCTGGCCACAGGACAAAAGATGGGCTTCAATGTGGCAGTCTGGCAAGGGGCTGAGCCAGAGCAGAACTGGAGGGCTCCGGGGGCCCTTTTCAGCCCTTTCAGCTAATGACCAGGCTCTCCCATTGGAGCCCTGGGTCTGTCATGTCAAGCCTCACTGCCACCCTTGTGGCCCAGCCACTGCCATTTGAGGACAGGGCAGGCGACCAGGCTGTAGACATTTCCTTCCTGCCTGGGGATCCGGATTCCAAGAACTGCACTCTGGGTTTCTCTTTGTCAATTATTGCAGGGTCCCAGCTCGGGTGAGAGCAGCTTTGCCTATCAGGATGGCTTGGGAAGCCAGTTTTCCTCAGACTGTTTCTCACCACATCTATTCAGAATTCTGTCCCCTGTGGAGGTGAACTGAATCAGAGGATGAGGACACTTTGGTCACCCCAGCTCTAAGAGGAGAATGTCGCTTTCCAGCCTCAGTGCTTACCTGGCACCTGGTCCCCCCAGCCCTGCTGATCTGTTTCTAAGCAGAATAGAAACGGGGTGAGGGATTGGCCTGGGCACACCCAGAGACAGCATACCCACATTTTAGAAGCCCAGCCCTGAGGGCCAACTAGTGTGGGGACAACACCATTCCTCTGGGCTCCCCACAGAGGAACTTTGTGTGATGGATCTGTCACCTCTATCCTGAGGGCTCTGCTTTACTTTAGGAAAGTTCTCTGCCACTCATCAGTTTTGAAGCCTCAGGGAAGCCCAGGGGCACCTGGATGTCTGTGACCTGCATGGAACTTTCCTGCTGGCCTTTGGGCTGCCACCTGCCCATGGCTACCATCCCTCCTGCCCTCTGGGTGCCTGTCTTCCCATGGGCCTTGCAGCTGATGCTGGGATTCGCCTGGAGCTGGAATTTGGGCTGGGATTCAGAGACTCACAGTGAGGACTGAGCAGGCACTGATGCCTGCAGCCTGTGGAGACCTCAGAGGGGGTGGCCAGGCCTCCCACAAGGCTCTTTGCCCCTGGTTTCTGCCCCAGGCCAGCTATGAGCACTGTTCCCTCTTGCACTGTAGGAGGGCTCTGACTCACTCTCCTGCCTCCTCTCTATGGAGCAGAATTAGCCACTGAATAATTCACGGTGTGGAAACCAGCCTGTCTCCATCCCCCGCCGCCTCCTCTCCTGGCTCAGGGGCTGTGGAGAGAGCAAGACCTAGGCCTACATCCTGCCTCTGCCTTCCTGTGCTGTGTTTGTGTGCTAGTGCTTGATCTCCCTGAGCCTTCACTGCCTTATTCTGAAATCGGCTGGGCAACCTTCTTTGGAGGGTTGCAATAGGGAAGTAGGGCCGATCTCCTGCTGTGTTGGATGTGGGGTAGACTGGAGTTCCCTTCCTGGGTGGCTGGGTAATGGGTTGGCATGGGCCTCCCCTGGTGAAGCATTCCTAGCTGTGGGAGGAACTGACCCCGACTCACTGGTGGGAGATGGACTCCTCATCCTCCTAGAGCACCCCCTCTTGGCCTGGGAGCCTGTGTCCAGCCCCCACCTGAGTAGGAGTCTGGCAGTTACCCCCCTACACCAGGTAAAGTGTGGCCTGGTATAGGGGTATGTGTGGCATGGGGATGCCAGCCTTTGTTCTTTAATATTCCCCCCCCCACCCATCCACTATTGGGAGCTCTGGTGAAACCCACTGGAAAACCCCATGGGCCAGGCCCTCTTCAAGGTACTGTGTCACTAACCCTTTCCAGTCAAGGCTGAGAGATGAGACAGTAATCTCTGTACATCTTAGCAGACTGAGGCTCACAGTCACACAGTGAGTAGGTGATAGGGCCAGAGTTCTGCTTTAGGACTCTTGTGTCTGCCCTACTAGGAGCCATAGTTCCTTCATGGTTGAACCCTAGGTTCAACCTAGGTTCAGCCCTAGGTCCCTCATGGTTGAACCCCTGAAGAGGTGCGAATGCAGGAAATTGAAGTTGGTGTTCGTGTCTGGCCCCACATGGGGTATTCAGAGCCTCTGCAAGAGCAAGAATGGGATTTTGCCTCCTAATGGTTTGTGATTTCTCTTGGGACTGAGGGTGTCAAACTCCCATATTCCTAGGCCTCCATCTTGGAGAGAGGGGCTCCCTGGGCGTTGCATCTTTCTTCTGAGGGCCGTGATATCTGCCGAGTAGCAGGCTCTCACTGTGGGTTCTGTGCGGCCGATGGGACCTGTGGTGGCGAGTGCTGGATGGAGGCAGAGGGCCTTCTCGGGTTGGGTCATTGCCAACATGCCTGGCGCCCACATGGGGGCAACTGAGTGACTGAGGGTCTTGATTTACAAGGGGAGAATTGTAGACCCAGAGCAGGGAGGATGTTCCCTGGTGGTCACACAGCCAAGCTGGGCCCAGTGTCGGGGCCTGAGGTCCTGATGTGGCTGAGGCCAGTCTGTGCTCCAAGGTGATGGTTGCCTTGGGCAAGGGTTGCTGAGGGTTGAGCAGAGCCTTCTCTTCAGGCTGGAGTGTGGGTGCCTGGGTTCCTGTGTGACCTTACCTTAGTCCATTCACCTTCCTGAACTTCACTTGGAGGAGTCTTCCCCCCTCAACCGCCACCTACCCTTCTTGACATCCCCTACTTAGCCTCCCCACACCTGTCAAGCTCATGTTCCTACCCTTGGCCTCTCTTAATCTTGCTTGCTCTCTCTCCACTGGTACAAGGGGTGGAGGTGCAAGTGGCAGAACATTTAGGGCCTGGTGAGGTATTGCTGTGGTGAGGTCAGAACAGGACCTAGGGGGACGCAGCAGTGGGGAAGGCTTCCTGTAGGAGGTGTGACCTGAACTATTATGGAGGCAGGAACCAGACTGGGTACACCAGGAAGGCTGAGACTTGCCTGGAGCCTGGCATGTGGTGGGCACATGGGCTCGCCCTCAGATCAGATGGGTGCCTGGTGTGTAGGGCTCATTTCCCATTAGAGCCCTAAGACTTGGGTGTTTCTATCAAGATCCTAGAGATAAGACAGAAGTAGCCATGTGGAGACTTTAGGGAAAAGAGTTACAGGCAGTGGAAAGGCACATGTTAAAGCTCTGAGGTGGGAAGAAGACTGAGTCTCATCCCAAAATAAGGGCGTCCTTGCAGTCTGAACGTTCAGGAGGTGGTGAGCTCTCAGTGCCTGAGCTCAGCACTGGATGGCTACGAAGAGGAGACTTAAACTCTGGTTGTCTCGCCCTCAGGGGCTGCTGGTCTCCTAGTAAGAGACCACAGTACCTTGGTCTAAAGCTGTGATTCCAGAACCATCACCATGGTTCTGGCCCTAGATTGGAGATAGAGTAGCCAACCACATCAGCGGGCGGGCCTGTCCTGTTGTCACCATCCCCACATATCCAAAGAAATTAAAACAGCCTTTATCACATGTCTTCTAGTTTACAAAAGTAATCACTTTCATGGAAAAGAAGAAAGAACATGAAGACCAAAATAGTCGCCCAGCTGTGTTTCTACCCATGTTCTTAAACTTGTGGGGTAGCTGCCTCTCAGGGGCAGAATAACACTGTGTACCATTTTGTCACCTGCTTTTTAAACATCATGTGTTTGGGACCTTGGTTCTTGATACCTACCTGGGAGCCCATGGTACTAGTCAGGATTGAGGTGGCAAGTAAGAAACATGGCAAACATGACAGGGCACTGTGAGCTGGTGGGAACTTCTAGAGCATCTCCTGTGTGGCTGGCAGCTAACAAGCTGGACTCTGGGGTACAGGGCCCATGAGTGAGCAGGGAAGCCCTATGGGCTAAATTGACTTTGGCTGTCCCTCTTGGCCTGTGCCAGAGTCCCAGGGGAGAATGCAGTTGGCCTAGCCTGGGTCAGGTGCCTGTATTTGGCTAGGGGAGGGTGAGGCAGCTGGTTGCTTCTACCACATCTGTACCTGCTGGGTGTAGGTGTTGGGACCAAACTTGGCGCATCCTCCACGTGGCATCCTGGGTCCATGTCACTTGGCTCAGCTTGGGGTCTCCTGTTCTTCAAGGTTTGAGAAGGCAGTGGCAGGCATTGCCCACTAATTTGGTGGGGCCCAGCCCAACCCAACACTGTACTGCTCTGCCTGGGGGACATACAAAGAAGGATGGCAATTGTCTGGCCCCAGCCAGGGATTCTTGGCCAGGTCCTGGGTGGGGGTACTCTGTGACTCTGACCCCCACGTCACAGCCCCTCTGCCAGAGAGGCTTATGCTGTTTGTTTCTTACTTTTCTGGGAAGCCATACAATGACC